TATTCCAGTTGCCAATCCCTGCTATAACAACCATAAATCTCTGTGTGATTATAGCAAAGGCTAAAACCCAGAATCTATGTAATGCACATTCGTGCGTTTTTCTGTTAATAAAAATAACCTACAAGACAATGGTACGAATCTTGAACGCCATGGAAAACCTCAAATCGTATCTGTGCGCTCTGGTTCAGGTGTACAAATACACAAAAGAAAACTGCTTTTAAACTTCCGCGTAAATCATTTAAGAATATTTTTGTTGCTTGCTCTATGTGTCTCTTTTGAAACACAGATGATAACAAATCGAAAAATAATTAGTATTTAGTGTATTCTTTTCTGTTTCAATTTTGATGTTTAAATTGGTTGGGAGAGTTGCGTAGCATGCTTCCCAATCTGCTTGTTGCCATGGGTTTTTGAATACGCGCTGCAAATTTTGAATTCGGAGTCACAGAATCGGTCAGTGTTGGGTCTCGGGTACATGGAGACAGCAGAGTATAGATAAATGTGCCTAAGATATCAAATTCGTTCGCACTGCATTGTGCCCTTCTGTCCACAATTCGTCCTGTTACTAAAATGCTAAGTGGTCAGCAGAACTGCATGAAAAGCTACCTCCCTGACATGTCAGATGTCAGTGGAGGTGCTTGTACTTCGACGCTGTTATTCCTCGTCGGAATAGTCGGAATGGTTATACATCTAAGAAGCTCATTCAAAAATATACAGAAATTTGAATTAAGATGGAAGTAGGCATTATTTCAGTAAAATTTACGCATCAGTGGTTTGTTATGTTCTAGAAGATATGTATTTTCAAAATGTGAATGTTTGTCGATGTTCAGTGTCAACTCTGTTTCATGAAGCAACCAGAAGGTGGCGTGAGAGTTCCTAAACGAGGTCAGAAGTCATATGATTGATCCGAGATGGCTGGACGAAGGATGTGTTTCGATATTTTCTTCTGCTGTTTGGTCGTGATATTCGGTGGTTCGTGCGGGGCAGAATTCGTTCCTGTGCTTGTATGGGAATCGAACAAGCCAACAGATGTACAGATCAGTTCTCCTGCGTTGAAGAAGTACAGTACTGACGATTTCGCAGATTTCTTCATAAATAAATTGTCAGCATTTGGTAAAAAACCACTTGTAGTAGTATTCACAGAAGAAAATTTGAGTGTCGAGGATTTCAGTTGGCAGGATCTTGCGGAGAACTCAGTGTTTCCACATTTAGAAAGTGTAATTGCTACTGCAGCAAATGTAGATTTCATTCCATCAGTGTCGAATCCATTGAAGGCACTGCAGAGGCTGGAGAAACTCGGTTACCAGTGGCAGACTGTTAGAGACCTGGAAACGATGAATGTTCCAGAGCACGGTGGTGTCGTTATGGTGTTGGAAATGGAGAATGCAAAAGTAGATGAAGACAGACCAGACTTTTTGAGACGCCATGATTGTTTGATCAGCAGTGTGTACTCTCGCTTGGTTAGCCAGGCGGATGATGTTGTCGCAGTGTACACAGGACGCTACAGCTCCTGGATCGAGCCTGAGAATGAACCAGTGCTACATAGGGTGCGCCGGCTGTTGGTGGAGCCAGCCCCTAATGCCACCGTCATGCTGATGAACACGAGCAGTATCCTGATTTATGCCAGTGATAAGCCACAGGTGACAGAATCAGACATCAAAAAGATTCTGACATTGCTGCCTGACACAGTCAAAAGGAAGGAGAGCGCCACGTACCAGAGTGTGAGGGCCAAGTTCAGTACAAACTCCACTGACCAAATCATTCTGGAGTTTTTCTTCTTCAACTCCACCAGCTCACCTGGGTACTGGTCACTGGAGAATGTCACATATTACATTAACAGTCCAAACCACACAAACAAAATGGTGCTCACTCCCGAGTCTGGAATTGTTGCCCCAGTCATGTTCTCGTACCACTGTTCTTCCAAAACTGTGTTTAAGGCTGTCAACATTAGTCTTACTTTCCAGAATTTCCAGGCACAGCCGTACATGGAGAAGACCAAGGCATTTGATGATGCATACAACTGTGAACTCTTCTTCACACCGCCCATCTGGTCTGGACTGTTTGTTACATCAATTCTTGCGTTCATTATGATGTGGGGCCTTGCTATGATCATGGATATACGAACCATGGATCAGTATGATGACCCCAAGGGCAAGACCATCACAATCAGTGTTTCTGAGTAGAGTGACAGGCCATGTTGTTCAGTTGGCAGTGCTACTTTGTAACTTTTAGCAGTTTGTTCTTCAAATGACAGCAAGAGGATTTACATGTTACTTTCAGATACAACGTTTTGTGTAAGGAGAAGTATGCAGTATGGTTAGGATGCCTGGCCCCGGCCTAAGGAAGGAAGGACCATTATATGAGGGGACAAGTGGTAGGCAGTCTTTGTCTTAACATTCTGATGTTCTGTTTCTCGATACCTCTTTCACAGTTCATAGTCATCAGAAGCTATACACATTATGAATATATGTTCTGTAATTGAGTATTTTTCAACCCAATGATGTCCCCCAATATCCTGGAAAATGTGAGGTAGATTGATGGAAACAAACAGAAATTGAAGGGGAATAATACCATCTGGGATGGTGAAAATCCAGCATTTGAGAAGGGCAGTAGGCTGTTGTACTACACAGTGGTACATGCCAGGAGTTGCTGCTCTTTCTGGTCACTGTTGTCAGAACCGATCCAACAGAATGAAGGAAACTTTCAGAAGTTGTTATTCATGGCTTCATTATAGTTATAGTTTTGTGAATCTTACCCAGAACAGTTCAGTATTATCATGCGTCAGGTTGTTAAGGCCTGTTCCTATGAATCTCAAGATGCCAACATCAGTCCTTTATTAATAGGAACAGAATTAAATCAACGTTCTTTGACAAATGTGATGGCCACAAGACAGCCACATAACTTGTGTATCAGTAAGTGAAAGGTGTAAGAAAGTTAATTTAGATGCTTTCCAACTGTGTCAGAACATAGATTCAGATTAAGAATCAAGAATTGTAAGAAATGGCAGTAGCCGATTCATAATATTTAAAATTGAGTTCTGAAATTTTGACATAATAGCAATTTTCATTTAAGGTCATGCATCCTAATGATAGTCATTCAAAAGAAAATGTTTTGTCAGTACGGAATTAAATATTCTTTGTGTTGCTGCTGTATAAGGCCAGTGGTAATGTTTATGTTTTACTGCTTTAGGTGCCGCAGGCATTGAATTGATCAGTCATTAGAATGCATTTATGTAGAAGTGGATCTCACTGTTAGTGCTTCACAATGCGTTATTGAGCGTTATGCAGTATACTTCTTTGGACAGTGGGTACATTGTATGGCAAAATGTTTTAATGGATAAGAGCAGTGTTGCCATCCGAACAATATATGTTTGAGCCATTTCAGCAGCAATTATATCTTTCCTTGAAACTAAAATATATTGCTGCAAGTCTGAGTATTGTAAATTGGCCAAGCAGAAGGTGAAAAATTAAGTGTCCGGCAGTGTAACAAGGTTAAAAGCCTTTCCAGTGTGTCTGGGTTAAGGCCTTCACAATCTTTCATTCCAGTAGAGTTTGATTCTGGCAGCAGATAACACTTGTTAATAGTAGTCATGCCGCAGAAACTGTCATATGCTGTATTCAGGAGTGTTGAACTGATTATTGTTACAATTTTTAATCATTATTTATTTGCATGTATCATCACTGTTTCATTCATAATGGCCTGTAGTCCTGTGTCACAGAAATGAGAGTACCGATCATACAACAGCATTAAACAGAGTAAGTGAGGTTCTTTTCATCAGGGCTGCTTACCTGAGGCATGATTTAAAGTTCTTGATTATTTTGTCCAAGAGTTTTGCTGTCAGAGGACCACTTGTGATGTGTCAGAAGTGCAGGCCCTGTGCAGTCATGATGCAATGTAAGATCTTTGTATTAATAATATCTCGATGTACATATCTCATGTGTAGGATGATTAAAAAGAGTTATGTAGCAACTGTCATAGGCATGGTTTATACTAGCTTTAATTTGCATAATGGCAGACTTGAATAGTTCAGGTCTGTACTAATAACACAGTTGCTGCCTAACTCTACATCACTGCTGATCAGCCCAAATTCCAGCTACTGGTGATATTTCTGCCTGCTGAAGGCAGTGCAGCTTTGCAGGTAGTATTAGTTATAATTTCTGTGATTTACTGATTTATTTTGAGGATTCTGTGCTCTGCTTAGGGCAGTCTGACATGACATATGAAAAAGTTGTTCATGGAGTGCCATGCCATCTGTTAGAAGGATAAAGAAGGCTCCTTTCATTATGGTTCATTCCCCCCCCCCAACAGATTGTGCTTGGTTCAGACCACTGCATTAATGCAATGCACAGCAGAACTAATAGCATGTATGCTATATTTTGAGCTACATCAGTTTATCACTGCTTCATTGAGCTCCTGGACTATAAGTCTTAGTGTGAAGGCCATTGGTGTTGGCTCTAAGGTTGTTCTGTTGTCACTTTAAGACATGATAAATGATACAAACTCCGTCCTAAGTGCAAACAATATACATTTATATGTCTTTGATCTTGTTCTTTCTACACTACATGTTTCGGCCTCTATCGGCCATCATCAGGTGTATACTCTTAACGTTGCTGCCACACTGAACCCAGTCTAAAACTTAACATTTAAAAACACAATGTCACGTTCTTCGTATTATCAACATCTACATCGTTGATATGTGTCTGGTATGTA